TCATCCCTCATCCCTTTGAAGGGCCACTACAAAGATCTGGAAAGCAGGAAGAAAATGTAGGCAAGAGGAGGGCAAAGCACCAAAATCAAATTGAAGCAGGATGTGGTGGTGTGGTGGTGCATGTCTATAGCCCCAGCACTGAGGAGGCTGAGGCAGGAGAATCGTTAAAAGTTTGAGGCCAGCCTGGGCTGCATAGTGAGTTCAAGGCCTGCCTGAACTACATAGTGAAACCTTGTCTCAGAAAAACAAAAATATGAGCAAATGAAAAAAAAATCAAGTTGCTGGGAGTCACATATTATAATAGAATCAGACCAAGGAGCATAATTTAACTTACAGTTTTTGAACTTCAGGCCACAAAGTATTCTGCAGAAGATGATCCTCGGTGGGAGGTTCTAAAATAAATGTATAGTATTCCAATTTTTTTTACACCAAAACCAGGAAATTCTATAGCACTTATTTAGATCAGCAGTGATGTACCTTACTGTGTTTACCAGTGATTTTATTAAATCATGTTTTTATCATTTCTTACCAGTAAGCAGGGAGGACTGAAAGGCCACCTGGTGATACTCAAAACCAGTACTAGTAAATAGCTCTTGCTCATCAGCAGGCTGAGAAGCTATATCACCTAGTGAAAGAAACACACCACCATGAACAGAGCCACCATCTTTATGTCACTTATGCTGTCTCAGTACTAAGGCTGTCACCCATTAGCAAGCAGTGACATCTCAAAATGGCGTTATTTCAAAACTTTGGTTCCACAGCAAAAATTATTCTACTGTTCCAGTATTTTCCAAACAAGCTCCTAGATGCATTAATGAATTCCATAAAGATTCCTGCCATTTTTTTGACCTATCAGGTCACAAATTTTTTTAGACTATACAACACACTGTCAAGGTTGTCCACATTCACGTGTGGATGTAGTGTTCTAGAAAACACTTTGTGAAAGCTGTACCTACTTTAATGTTCTACATGTGTAAGCAGAATACTTAACCCAAAATATTTGACAGTGAAGATGTGTTGTTACTTTAAAAAAAAATCTTCACTAGCAAACATTAGGTATATCTTCTAAAGTCTATAACTAGGTTTTACATACCAATATGGGTTCAATAATTTTTCAGAAAACATTCTTACCCTGAAAGACAGCTTTATTTGATAATCCCAATGCAGGGACAGTAGCTCCTTCTGGAAGATCACTGCCTTGCTGGAATAAAAAATAACATTTATAGAAGTTTTAAAGTTACTGTTACCTCAGGTTCTGTAAAAGTCATGTTCATAAATGCTGAGAAACTGCTTCAAGACCCCCTTGCGTGGACATCTTCTCACTGTTCCACTTCCTGAACCAAGAGATGCAACACTGAGCAACCACTCTCCAACAGACAGGCCCTAACCTGTCCTCAAAGTCAGTCATCCTGTCATCCATAAGCTCCTCAAATCCTAACAGCTCAACGGTTTTCAGGTTCTCACAAGAAAGACAGTAGGCTGAAAATGGAAAGCCCAGATGTCTCACTCCAAGAAGGCCTCACAGGCATATCTTTGACAATGATCCTGCAAACACAGATGTTTCCCAGAAAGGGAGAGTCACAGTATTTTCATTAAACATATTTAAATAATTGAAAGCTATGTTTTAAAACTTGGTTAAGAGTGTCACTTGAAGAGGCAATATTCTGCAACTTAAAGCAACCAAGTTATTACATGTGAAACCATATGCTAGCCATCAAAACTGGCACAAGACCACATTCTAAGAGTGTTTCTTACAATTTAAACTTTAATACAGGGGCTGAAACTAAACACAAGCATGAGTAATGTGAGTTCAAACCACCCTAAAGAATGGCGACCTGGGACATAAGGAACTGTATACTTTATCTCTGAAACCAAGAAAAATAACAGAGTGGAAAAGAGCAATAAGCATTTCTATATGGCTATCCCCAAATTTAAGAGAGGGATCAAAGGGCCTAGGATTTAGCTCAGTGGTGCTGGCACCTGCCTTGCAAGCGCAAGGGCCAGAGGTTTGATCCCCGGTACCAAAAACAAACAAACAAAAAAATATATATATAAAAAGAGAGAGAGGGAGCAAAGGCTGGAAGAGAGCAAGAGATATTCCAGTGTACACAGCTGCTGCATGTTGGGATACAAAACTGAATGTATAGCTGGGATTGAGCCTTGCATGGAATCCCAAGAAACCACATTTCAATCCCTAGAACTGAAGAGATCCTGAATAGGACTGCCCCTCACACTCATATGCTAAACTACAAACAGGAAGTCAGTAACTACAAACAAGACTCCCTCTTCCCCAAAGACTTCCCTTTGGCTCGCATTCCCACTGTCCATTATTACTAGGAACAAGCAGAACAGAATCTTAAACAGTTTCAGTGTAATTCAGAAAGCTCATAGCATGAAGCACAACATGTATGTCAGCGAACATAGCTCAATGCTTTATTTCAAATGACTCTCACTTTCTTCTCCCGGCTATCCCAGATGGTGCTGACTTCACTTTCTTCAGTCTCCAGGCCCTCAGATAACTCTTGTCTCAAACTTCTTTTTATCATAGTCTTTGTGTGGGGGCTTCCAACAGCACCCCACAGTCTGAGATGTGCCTGCCTCCCAAGATACACTATTTGACTTTCTCCTGCCCCTCCATTTCCCTCTTCTTTCCAACACCTACTCCAAAAGTGCTGGTCACCTTTCTGCTTGCTTGCTCTCCTTCCTCCCTTCTACCTATGAAGCTCAGAACCAAATCTGTTACCCAACTGTAAGTAAAGAACTGTAATATACACCCTTCTGGGTAACATGGTGATCCTACTAAATTTCTCCTCCTTCAAAATTACTTTATAATTTCTATAACCCATGTATTTTTATGTCACTCAAAAAAAAATTTTTTTTGAGACAGGGTCTCACTATGTAGAGACTGACGTGGAACTCACTATGTAGCCCAGACTGGTCTTGAACTCACAGCGATCCTCCTGCCTCAGCCTCCCAAGTGCTGAGATTACAGACATGCGCCACGATGCCTGGGTCGCTCAAATCTTTTATAGAAAGGGGGTATAATCAAAATAAAAACTTATGGGCTGGGGATTTGGCTCAGTGGTTCCACCGCCTGCCTCATAAGCACAAGGGCCTAAATTCGATCCCCGATACCAAAAAACAACAACAATAATTAATAATAATAAAAAATAAAACAAATCTCAAGTGAAGTCCCATTAAATGCGTTCTCATTACTCTAATACAGTGACTTCTTCCTTCTATGAAACTTATTTTATCACCTAAAGATTTAGCAACTACCTGAGGTTTTGTTTTATTTGCTCTCCCAAATTTATTTTTTAAATTATTTTATTTTAATTAGTACATATCTGTAGTATATGTTTACATTTCTTGTGTGAAGTTGATTCATGTATGTAACACATCTTAATTCCTTTTTTCATCTTTCTTCTCCCCCTCCATCTTCGCATTTGAGAAAGATCTATCTCCCTACTATTATCTATCTTTCATTTTGCTCTTTATAATTTGACTCTCTCATGTAAGAGAAACTACACGATACTTAAGCTTGTGTGTCTGATTCATTTCACCTAACATTATGTATCAAGGTGCCTCCATTTTCCTACAAGTGACTCAAGGTTATCTTTCTTTATGGTGGAGCAGTATTCCATTATAAGTTTATACCACATTTTATATAGGCTGCTTCCAAGATTTAGCTATTATGAATTGTGCTGCTATAAACATGGGTACGCATGTATCATTGCAATATGACTTTAACTCTTTTAGGAAGCTAACTGTTAGGGGAAACAGCTAGGTCAAAAGGAATTTCTAGTTTTAGTTTGTTGAGGAAATCTCCATAATGATATCCACAGTGGCTGTTCTAGTTTACATTCCCACCAAGAGTGTAGAAGGGCTCCTTTTTCCCTACAGCCTCATTGCAACTGATATTATTATTACCTTGTTTCATTTTGTTAGTTCCACTGTTCTCTTATTCCCATCATACAGCAAGAAAGTAATTTCTCTGAAATGGAATGCAGCTTTTATAATTTATCTTAATCACCTAGCACAGCCCCAATATATAATATCCATGTCACAAATGAATACAACATGGCTGCTTTATAGTATTTTGGGCTCATCTGTTAAATAAAATTATTGGTTTAATACTGGTATCACTAAGTGCTACAGTGCAACACAAAAATTTGTCAAGCCAATAATGAATGATGACTGTTGAGCATTTGTAGGCTCACACAAAAAAATTTAGAATTTAAAACAAAATGACTTGATTTAAGAAAAGCATTTAGAGAAATACTCACATCACAAAGCACATGACTCACTGACTGTCCTGAAATGGCACAAAAATTTTCCACAAAATTCCGAGGTGCAGAAAAGACTCTAAGAACCTTTTCATCTGCTCCAGACACAAACTGAAACCGATTAATCATTGTCAAACATTTCAGGTCATATCCATGTATCTGAGGCCTTGCAATTTCATGCCAAGTCACCTGGGCAATAAAATAAAATAAAAATGACCACATTTCAAAAGCTGGTTCTTATCAATAAGCTAAATATGAAATACAAAATTTACTATGCTACAGAACTATGACCATGGAAAAGATTCATCCACAAATAAATTTTTAACTATTGATAAAACAAGAGCCACAGAAAAACATTACAAATGATCTGATTTGTTTTTTAGTTGGTTATGGATGTTACTCAAAGAGATCTGTCATGTGCTACTGAGACAGTAATGTCACTGACAAACTTCCTCAGCTCTCAGACTGATCTCTGGTCAGTTTCATGAACTTCTGTCAGAAATTACAGCTGAGGAAACTCATTTTTCCTTACCACAGAGCAGTTCAATGGCTTATTAGCGGTAAAGTTTATGGCCAAGACTGAAAATGTTCTTGAACAGAACTGCTCTCTATTATTATTTAACATTATATGACTTTAGAAATTGGCTTTTACTACAAACTTGAAGTTTCCAAAATTTGGCTGAGCAAGGTGGCACATGCTGTAATCCTAATATTTGGGAGGCTGAGGTAAGAATCTCTATGAGTTCAAGGCCAGCCTGGGCTACAGAGTGACTTCAAGGCCAGCCTGAAATACAAAGGGAGACCCTGCCTCAAAAAAAAAAAAATAGATAAAATACACACATACATACATACATACATTGCAGAGAGCAGATATATGTCTAAGTTTTAAAGAAAATGCAAAACTATTTTCCAGAGTGGCTGGATCATTTTGCATTCCCACTAGCAAAGTATCTAAATTTTAGTCACTCTGTATCCTTACCAGTACTTGTTACTATCAGTGTTTTTTTCACTTCAGCAAAATTGAGTAATTATAGTAGTATCTCATTATTGTTTTAATTTCATTTTACCAATGACAATGTTAGCTCACTTTGCATGGGTTCATGGAAGTGTTTTTAAGTGGATTAGTCAAGTAAGAAGACATTTTACCTGTGACTGGTCTTTTCTTTTCCATGGAGCAAAAAGTCGAGTTGTCTGATCAGTAGAAACAGTGATGATAAATTCTCCTTCTGGATCCCACACTAGATCTTGGACACCATCAAAATGTCCTGAAATGACAATCTCTGGAGTCCACTCTCTCTGCAATGAAAGTGCTCATGACGTGTATCAAGATAATAAAAAACCACCACTACTCAAAGTAAAGCAAAAAAGAAAGAGGAAACGAAAGCCCCTGGCAACATGAAACACTAAGTATTACAAGAGAGGATGGTGGAGGCCGGGGATTTAGCTCAGTGGTTCTGCTACCTGCCTTGCAAGCACAAGGACCTGAGTTTGATCCCTGGTACCAAAAAAAAAAAAAAAAAAAAAAAAAAAACAAGAGGAAATAATATGATTTGCTTCCCAATTAACCATGTAAGAACTGAGGTGTACCCTCTGAATAGTAACCTTTCCCCATCATTAATTCCCTCTATTCCAGCACAGACTCAACTTCATCCTTCTTAAATAACTCTTCTGTAAAACAGGTACAATGACATCTACCTCAGAAGGCATCAAGAGGATTAAACAAATTCATATTTGTAATGTATGCAGAATAATAATGGCATATATATTGTACTCTGTATTTGTTTAAGTAAATAAAAGAAAAAAGAATTACAGGCATGATGGCACAAATCTGTAGTTCCAGCTACTTGGGGCAATAAGGCAGACGATCACAAGTTCAAGCCCAGCCTGCACAACTCAGTGAGACCTTGTTCCAAAAATGAAAAACAGCTGGGCATGGTGGCACATGCCTATACTCCTAGCACTTGAGAGGCAGAGGTAGGAGCATTGCGCTAAGTTCGACGCATGGGCTACATATAGTGAGTCTGAGGCCAGCCTGAACTACATAGCCAGACCCTGTGTCAAGAAGTCAAAATACCAAAAAAAAAAAAAAAGGCTGGAGTTTGTAGCTGCACAGTACAGTACTTGCCTAGCATTTGTGAAGCCCTAGATTTCAACTTCAGTATTATGGGGGGTAGGGGAAAATATTATGTAAAATGAGTCAGTAGATCTGAGTGTGGCTTTCTTTTTTAAGTTAAAGGAGTTACGGGTATAGAGGAAAGAGACAAACCAAACTTAGTTGGTTCACCTACTGAGAAACTTGCAATAACAACCACATAAACAATGACAACAAAATATAGTGTATCATATGCTTGGTCCACAGTCTTTTTAAATAATCTCAAGTGGTAGTAAAATTTGACCACAGGGAAAAAAATATTTATGTAAATAACTGAAAGGTCATTCAAAGCCAAGTCTGATAAATATAATATAGTCAGTAATTATCTTATTTCTCATTTTAAAAAAAGGCTGTGACAAAGAAATTATATTAGTTTTTCTGTGACCTCAAAAGTGTGAAGTCAGCACTAATTGGAGTTTATAAAAATTCTGGGCAGCCAGGTGTGGTGGTGCACGTCTATAATACCTGCACTTGGGAGGCTGAGGCAGGAGGATCGCTGTGAGTTCGAGACCAGCCTGGGCTACACAGTGAATTCCAGGTCAGTCTCAACTACAGAGTGAGACCCTGTCTCAAAAAGCCAAAAAAAAAAAAAAAATCTGGGCAATGGATAGCACTTCTGAATTAACCACACCATTTTCTACAGAAACAGTACTAAATAGCAGTGCTTATTTGTTCTTAAAAGTCACTTAGGTGGGGATGTAGCTCAGGAGTAGAGCATATGCCTAGCTTGTGTGAGCCCTAGAGTTCAATCTCCAGTAGGGAAAAAAGAAAAGAAAGCAGTATACTGTATCACAGATTGAGGGATTGCGTGTGAGATGCTGATAGTGGGCAAAGCACTACATACATCGGGTCAGGGGGACGTGGGAACTCTACTTACTGCTCACCTTTGCTGTTAATCTAAAACCGCTCAAAATAGGAATCCCATTTCAAAAGCAAATCATCCTCAATACTTGATAAGTCAAATTATAAGGGCAAGTACAGTTTTCTGGTTTGGATTTCTCCTTAACAATCCAATGCTTTTTTTTTTTCCTCTGTGAGTGCCCTCAGTTAAGAAAATAAAATTTATCTTAAAAAAAAAATTTCTTACCTTATCAGTTTCAGAGCTTTTAATAGTCAAAACAATCCTAAAGGTCAACTCCAAAAGGAGGGAAAGAGTAAATCCCTTCATAAATTAAGAAGTCAAAACCCCGTGGATGACAAAACTAATACAAAACTCACAAAGTAAAAGTTATGCAAATCATGAAGTTTTTCTCTAAGGGAAGCTAAGAGATGGATGTTCAGAACATGTTTAGTCATATTTCACTCATTTTCTTAGTTAAGATACCAAAATTAATGTATCAGGTACAGAACATACCAGGCTCTATTTTTCATGTACACAATATTTTCCCCCTTTGGTGGTAGTGCTAGAGATAAACCAAGTGCCTCACACAAAGTTAGGCAAGCACTCTACTACTCAGCTACATTCTAGCCCTCTCAATATACCCATTTACACTTGCAGTACCTCATCAATGTTGTACATACCTGTACTTTTCTTTGTAAAAAAGTATGTGTTTCTTATCTAGTATGAACACAATGCACTGTGTATAAAAATAAATGTTGTGTGGCCAGAGATTTAGCTCAGTGGCACTGCACCTGCCTTGAAAGCACAATGTCCTCCAAAAAATTAAAAAAAAAAAACAAAGAAAAAAACACAAGGTCCTGAGTTCAATCCTGGTACCCCCCCAAAAAAAAAGTCACTTAAATGCTTTAACTATCATTTTTTAGAGTGTTATAAGTAAACCCTACTTAGGTTTCATCTAGGATTCACTCTGTGATTAGAAAAGGTTTAAAAGTGCTTTTCTTACTGGGTTGACTGTACTCTGTTTCCAAAGGTGCAGTGCTCCGTGAAAAGCATGGGCGATGATCATGGAGCCATCCTCACTGAATTGGCAATCATAAAATCCCAGAGTATTTCCACCTACTTCACCTACTCGAACCTATATAGTAACAGACAAAAAATAAATCTCAAGCAATCGTCCCATTTCTGGGATGGATTCCAGAGATTAAGTTTCAACTCATCCAATGTATACAAAGTATAAAAATTTACAGCTCTTGAAGTACAGATTCAAGATTAAGTATTCAGTTTATAAAGTCCAATTTCTTCTTCCTTAAATATCTACATTTTACCTTTTCTAGCCAAACACCTGATTCTTCATGTGGAGCCCAGAGAATCATGGTTTTATCCATTGAGGCGGACAACAATCTCACTGGCTGCTGCAGAACACCATCTAAATAATAAAAACTAATGCTTTTAGATGATAAACAGGCACCATTTTTGTAGCTTATCAGAAAAAAACAACAATAGAGATACTGTACTGCACAAATGTTCACTGGAGCATTGTTTATAATGCCAAAATCTGCAAACAGTATAGGAAAAGAACAGTTAAAGTTACTTTATATGAACAGTCATAGTTACTTTCAGGTATTATACTATAATTATAGTATAACAGTATAGTATAGTGTAGTATAATATAGTTATAGTATAATAAAAATAATTACAACATGAATCAAAATGGATAAATCTCCAAAATGTTAAACTAAAAATATTGTAAAAGATAAATACATATTGATAGCAAGTTTTAATAGCTCTAAAACAGTATGATGATAGCAAAATAATACACAATAAAAATATGCATGGGAATGATATGCACTATTTCATACTATAGCTGTCTTACAGAAGGATGCTTTGGAAAAGGTCAAAACAACATACAAAAGTTCTCCATATCTATAATATCTACTTTTTATTAAACAATGGAAAATTTGTCTGCTACCTCTCTAATCCTGATTTCTCTTGGAAGGCCAGATAAAAAGTTTAGTTTCAGCTTTAGTGAGGTAGAATTTTAAAATGGTGATCATTTTGATATTTAGTATGGTCTGCTGGGCCCTGGTATAAATGCTTAGTCCAAAATAATGGCCTCTTCTTATTTTTATTTCACAGTGAAAATATTTTAAATTTTTAGTAAAAATGAAATTGAGGTTTCTTTCTGGTTTTTTTGTTTGTTTGTTTGTTTTTTTTTTTCAGCTTTAGTGAGGTAGAATTTTAAAATGGTGATCATTTTGATATTTAGTATGGTCTGCTGGGCCCTGGTATAAATGCTTAGTCCAAAATAATGGCCTCTTCTTATTTTTATTTCACAGTGAAAATATTTTAAATTTTTAGTAAAAATGAAATTGAGGTTTCTTTCTGGTTTTTTTGTTTGTTTGTTTGTTTTTTTTTTTTTTTTTGGACAGGGTCTCACTATGTAGTTGAGAATGACCTGGAACTCACTATGTAGCCCAGGCTGGTCTCGAACTCACAGCAATCCTCCTGCCTCAGCCTCCCGAGGGCTGGGATTACAGGCGTGCACCACCACGCCTGGCTCTTTCTGGTTTTTAAATTAAACACAAGCTAGCTCTACGGTCACACAGCTAGCTGGTTCTACGGTGCAGAGATAAAGCAGTAACTCCCAGTACAGCGTAGGTGCTGATACCTGTTTTAACTGGAAATAAAGGACTTGGGCTGGAAAAATGGAGGTGTTATGGATGGGAAAGGAAGAAGCCATGAGGCAAGGACAGATGGGATGATTCAGAGTTGGCCCATAAAGAGAGAATAATTATAACCATAGCAAATATGATATAAGTAAGAGCTGACTGGTCATTACCTGAGCATTAATTACCACAGTTCCTTTTTTTAAAAGAAGGGGTTGGGGGAAGAACATGAGGCTCCATCTTACTCAGCTGTACTGTCAGCACCACCTTAGGCATAATAAAACCACCATTTCTTGCCAGGTGTGGTGGCACACTTCTGTAATCTCAGCATTAGGAAGGCTGAGGCAGGAGGATTACTTGAGAGTTTTGAGGCCAGCGTGGGCTACATAGTGAGTTCAAGGACAGCCTGGACTAGTAGTGAGACCCTATCTCAAAAAATGAAACAAAACAAAGCAAAGCCAAACTAAACCTAGTGCTCCATAATTGGAGGTTAAGGGTGAAACAAAAGAGTTCAGTGAAGCTGACTTGAAAGTCAGTTTTTTTGAGCCAGGTATGGTGGCACACATCTATAATTCTACCACTGTAGGAGGCTGGGGCAGAAGGATTGCAAGTTGACCTCAGCCTGGGCAACTTAACTGTTTCAAAAATTTTAAAATGGTTGGGAATGTACCTCAGTGAAAAGGTTCTAGGTTCAATCCCCCAATACCACAAAATTTTTAAAAAGTCAGTTTTTCAATGACTACTTAGAAATTTTTAAGAGACAAAGATCATAGAGCATGAGATAGTTTGGGCATCATAGCAAGAATCATACTTTGCCCACTTAATAATGCAATTTTCAATGGAACTGAGTATCCAGCACACCAGGAAAGAACTTTACCTTCTACCAATTTGAAAGTGTCTTATATTTGAGATTTCTAATTACACTCCAAAAAATACTCCAGCTAGTCAGCTTAAAATACTGTACAATTCAACTGAAATAAAGGATTATGGTTATTTTTTCCCTCACCTTTGTAAAATGAAGGTTGCCAATGAACTGCATTCACCCAGTTTTCATGACCAGCCAACACAGTCTCCAGAGTAACTGCACAGGTTACTTTACTACCTACAACAAAAGCAATGAAGGTATTCTTTCCTCAAAGCGACAATTGTATAACCACATTAGTTGTACAATTATATCACAAAAATCAGAACAAAACACAATCACTGAGATTTAACAAAGATAACATGCATTTTAAACTTCATAATCTCACCCACTGTTTAAAATTATATGAACAAAAGTTCTAAAGATAAATTTCTCTATAGTTTCCCCCACCTGGTCATAAATATTAAAAAAATTTTTTAAGTTTCTGAAGTTGTTATACTTCACAAACATATGTTATTGTATTCATATGTAGATAGCTTTGACTCAACAGTACCACAAAAATATGAAAAGTACTTGGGTTCAGCGACTTACAATTTTGTTATATCACTTCCTGGTTTTCCCCATTAAACTTTATTACCAAAATCTCAACTCTAATGGGCTTTAAAACCAAGAAGAGTAATAAATAACTATGTGAATGACATTTACTGAGAACTAACTTCATAACTCAGATACGCATACAAAACACATCCAAAAATATGTCATCTAAGTACTACATCCCAACAAGATCTACCATGCAGAAATTGTTTTAATGCTAGACAATAGGAAAACTAGAATTGCATATGCTATTCAAATACAGGGATTCAGCTTGTCTCTTTTCTTTTTCTTTCTTTTTTTATTTTTGCAGCACTGGGGATCAAACTCAGGACCTTGAGTTTGCAAGGCAGGCATGGTGCCACTGAGCTAAATCCCTGGCCCAACTTCAGCTTCTCTCTTATATACCGGCAAAAGTATGGAGGGAAAATTCACACTGGTTCTTTAGGTCGTCCTATCCCAAAACTCAAAATTTAGTAACATTTTATAAATTCATTTGACATTTTCATAAATAGAAATATATAGAATCTGACATTTCTGAAAAACTAAATTTCACAAGACCTAATAATTTTACATCAAATATTTTCAGTTACCTCCATTTGCTATGGTAAAAGTATTTTCCTTCAGTCTTATATTATCTTGCATTTCTGAAAATTTCGATTTTATATAAAGCCTCCATATTCTTATCAGGCAATCTTGTGAACAGCTTGCCAGGAAAAGATCTTTACCTAAATTAAGAAAAAATTCTATTATTTTTAAAACATTATATTCTTAAAAGTTTTGTAGAAGACTTTCTCCTTTCAGTATGTACATTTCTAGACTTCCCGAAAAAACAAAACAAAACAACTTTTACTTGCTTACCCTTCAGTCATTTGACCAACATTCTTTTTTATTTTTTTGGTACCAGGAATCAAACTCATGACCTTGAGCTTGCAAGGCAGGCGTGGTGCCACTAAGCTAAATCCCTGGCTCATGACCTACATTCATTTTTAATAACATTATGTACACTACTAACATACTTTCCTACAGATAGTCTACTAAATTCTGCAAAGAACTTTTCAAGAATGTCTGCATACAGCCAGACAGCTGGTATCATTTTGTAAATATCAATTTGTTTCATCCTCAATTTATAGTTAATTGTTAAGAGAAAGTTAAGTATCTTTTCTTTTCTTCTTCTTTTTTTTTTTTCATTATTTTTGGTACAGGGATTGAACTCAGGATCTTGCGCTTGTGAGGCAGGCGCGATGCCACTGAGCTAGATCCCCGGCCCCAAGTATCTTCTTTTCTAATTGGGACAGTGAAAAGGTATTACACAAAGAAAACTTAAAAATTAAAACATAAGAGGCTGCTTTCTAAGAAGTTACCTATACTTGCTCCCATCATCTGTATGTTAGCAAAATTTCATACTAACCAAAGGCTGCCCATTCCACACCTCTTATCCAATCCTCATGTCCACGGAGAAAAAGTACTTTCTGAAACTAGTAAGATATCAAAATTCATGGGTATTAATGTAAGAATTTAACATTTTTTCGTGCATATTAATGACTTACTTGGTCTCAGTCAATTCTACATCATTTTTCCTAAAAACATTACCTAATCAAGACATAGGCTACAACACTCTTTTAGCAACAAAACTCATCATGCAATATCTAAATCATTAATTAAGCAACAGAATACATATAATAGTCTGTAGTACTCAAATGATTTAAATGTTTACAAGACTAAAGCTCAGAGATTGGTACTATAGTTCATGACCAAGGCCCTAGGTTCAATCCCCCTCCTAACACCAAAAAAAAAAGATTAAAGCGCAGAAGGACAAATACATTCTACCAGCATGCCTCACTATAGGTATGTTAAACCTCACTTGAAACATTTAACACACACACACACACACACACACACACACACACATTCCTTCTCTTTTTCCCACACACCATGACTTATTTCTCCCTACCAACTCTTGGCCTAGTAGTCAAGGCCGCAGTTACTGGATATACAGAGAGTAAAAGACCACCTAACATAGGGTTATCAAAAAAGACTTCCTTATTAGACTATTTGGGTTTGAATAACAACATTCCTTAAATAAATAATTAAAAATAGTCTGTATTAAGATATATCACTAAGCAGAACACTATTTTAATCTTAAGATAAAAACCATTAATTACCTGATTATTTTGTTGCACAAATAAGTGAATTTTGCAGTCATCATCACCACAGGCTAATATTGGTACTGTAAGGGGGAAAATTAAGCATCACTGTAAGTACTCCACCGTAAGTATGATCCCCTATGTAGATTCTAAGCTGAGGTGATGAACTCAAGACTTCTATTTCCCACATCACTGAACACATGAATTGAAGATGCTCAATAGATGTCTCCAAGATCTGCGTATGGTGGTAAATGCCCGTGAGCCAAGCCATTCAGCAGGCTGAGGCAGAAAGATTACAAGGCCATCCTGAACAATTCAGCCAGACTCTGTCTCAACGTAAGAGTAAAGAAAAGGGCTGGGGATGTACCTCAGTGTTAGAGGACTTGTCTGGTATGCATGGGGCCCCAGGTTTAATCCCCAGTACTGCAAAGCACAATACATAAAAAGTCTCCAAGAATAAAACGGACACTCTAAAACATTCTGTTCAGTTGTTACTTGGTAAATATTAACTATCATATCACTGAGATAATTAGTATCTTTGTTCTATTTCATTTATGATAGAAGGAATAAAAAGAAGCTCAAGAGCAAGCAGGGCAGAAGATTTTCACCACATCTGCCAAAAGATGAATATGAAAAGTTGTAAGCCCAACTGAATAAATCTGAGTTATTGGAAGCCTAGCATCATAGCTGCTATACAATGATTTATGAGTACATGTGTGACTTGAAGACTGTATATTTTGAGAACAAATTCAACACTGAGACAAAATAAAAGCATGCAATTAAGCATGCAGCTAAAAAGCTATGAAAGGAGTGATTATAAGCTTTCTTTAGTAAGATAAAAAAACGAATTCACATTACCAAAGGATGGCTCTAACGAATCTGAAGTAAAACAAAATAAGAACTCAGAAGAAAATGTCCTGCTACTACTAAATGTGTTTTTCCAAGATTTTAAGTCAACTAAAAACAACAACAACAATAATAGCTAGTCACTTGTTCTTAATGTCAGTGGAAAGAAATGAGATTCTGTGTTATTAAACCAGAGGGTTTGCAGCTACTCCTCTTGGGAACCTTTGCACAAAATGGAAGCTACACATGAAATCATGGAGGCAGTTTCTGCTGCAAATGGCAAGAGAGGTAGGTGCTTCCAGGACCTGCCTCTTGCCACCAACATGTCTTCCAGGTAACAAAGGAGGGAAAGAGAATTACTTCATATTAGCTATCATCTTCATGGAAGATAAAGGAAAGATAAAGCCAGGTGTGGTGATGCATGCCTGTGATCCCAGCACCCTAGGAGGCTGAAGCAGGGAGATCCCTTCACAGTCTGAGACCAACTGTGGTAAGCTACATAGTGAGTTTAAGCCCACCCTGAACTGTGTAGTGAGAGGAGACCCTTTTTCAAAACAAACAAAACAAGATAGGCACAGATGGAGTGCAGAGACAAAAAGGAACATTTTTATCTTGACAGTAATGTTCACAAGGACCATCTTCAGTAATTTTCAATTTATTCCAAACCTTCACCTTCTAATTAGGTATTCCCTAAATTATATCTATATACATTCACAATCTACTTCACAAATAGCAGCACCAATCTTGAGTATAAGTTAATCAAGTTTTGAACACCTACCAAAATTCCTAGTAGTCTCTCCTTATACTCATGTTCTATATATTTAGACCATTTGAATATTGTAACACAAATGTTATCCACATCTGAACTTGTTTCATGAATGTATTTAGATGCAGGGTTAGGTATAGCTCAGTAGTAAAGCGTTTGCATAGCACACGTGAGACTCTTTGTTCCATCCCCAGCATCACAAAAAATAACCAAAAAAATCTAAATACAAAACTAAGACACATTTCTTTTAAGTTCTGGGCATGTGGAGATATGCACATACTGTATATACACTTAGCAGGATACTCACCATCAGTATTAGGCAAAAAGAATAAGGACAGAGCCAGAGCAAATCCATTTCCAAAGGTCAAGGTTTGAAGGCATGTTACTAAGAAACAACAAAAAACACCATGAACAACCCTCTCTGAGCTTACCTACCTAGAGTATTTGGGAAGAATTATCACAGGCCTGGGTGTAAGCAGGTAGATGACAAAGGTCAATCCTGAGGCCACACTGGTTATATAAAATTAATGGCCAAATTTCAACATTTCAGAGAACAAAATGACTTATATGAAAAGGCTTCAAATAAATTTATATTGTCAAACAGTTTGATATAGATGAATTTTGAGAAAGTATTAAAAAAAACCCAAACATTTAAAAACTACTTGAAAATCATGCATGGTGGCACAAGCCTGTAATCCCTACACTCAGGAGGCAAAGGCAGGAGTATGGCCATGAGTTTAAGATCAGCCTGGGATACACAGTGAGTTCAGGGCCAGCCTGAACCACATAGTGAGACCCTGTCTGAAAAAACAAAAAATAAAAAAACAAAACAAAGTTACCTACAAGTTTGGAAAAATCACATACATGTATTTTCTAGCTGTCATTCAATAATTACTATTTCATTTATCTGGATTTGATGCATCCCAACTTACCTTCTGAACCCTTTTTAGACCAGAATCGGACGGTAGAATCTGAAGATGCAGAGACTACCAGTGAGTGTAATGCACCATCCGATGCCGTCCTCTGGTAAACAGCACGCACCACGTAAACAGGTCCTTCATGGCCTTGGAGATGGATGGCTTTTAAAAGCTGAATCAGAAAGAATGACAAAAGCAGTTACCCCAGTTTTACCTTATTTAGTGGGACTCACAGGATTAAATGTGTAGTCAAAGCCTATCTCAAAAACAAAAAGGGCTGGGCATATAGCTCAGTGGAAGGCCTGGAGTTCCACCCACTAAATAAATAAACGAATAAATAAATACATAACTAGCTAGCTTGACAGCCCTCCCCACTACAAACAATACCTGACCTACCAACAGGTTCTCTAAATTGAAGAGAATGAAAACTTTCAAGGCTGTCTGACCTTATTAATAGAATGTGCATTCTTTGACACAGCAAAGAATCTAGAGAATAGCATTAGTGTCACAAATATAAAAGACAAAAGAATTATCTTTACCATATACTGTTTATAATAATGAAAAATCACAATTGACCTAAAATTTTTAATAGGGAAATGATGAAATAAATTATTTACATTGAAGCCATAAAAAGGATAATATACTACACTCGATCTTAGCCAAAAGGCCAAGAAGTGATTAAAAAAGGATAATATAAATAAATAAATGCCTACTGCTATGAAAAGATGTCCACGACACTGACATTTTTTAAGATAGGCCAATTTTATGGAATGCTCTTCCTTTTGGAGTAGTCTGATGTTTCCTTGTGAAGAGATTCAGAATATACATTCTGGCAGCATTATTACATTGTTCCAATTTTAGTTAAGTTAGCCTTGTTATCTTACAAGGTAGTGTCTACAGGGTTTTTTCACTGTGTAGTTAATATTTTGCTTGGTGATAATATCCGAGCACACTTTGGGATTGAGTAGTTTATTCCCTATCAAACTCTTACCAAGTACTTTTAGCACCCAATTGTGATACTTGTTTAAATCAAGTATGGCTCTAAAATAGAAAAATAGAACACAGAAATTCCATTTGCTTATCAAATCTATCAGCTCACCAGATACTGAATATTCCCTCTGGCATCTTTCCACTCTTCCTTTGGGTCTTTGTTTTGTTTTGTTTTTTGTAGTGCTGAAGGTAGAACTAGGTAAATGCTCTTCCACTGAGTGACACCCCCAACCCAGGCCTATTCTTTATGAGTTTCTTTCAAATGTGTGAGATTCCATTATTACTTTAAGAGATCTCTTACACATACTGTCATCTGCTGAATACAAGTGTTCTCTAAATGCCTCCTGAATTGTCTTCCCAATTACTTAAGCAGAACCCTGCAACTCAAGTAGCTAATACTCATGAAAAAGGGTCTGTACACAAACTTCCTTTAATCATTAACTTTTGACTTATTTGAAAAAATATTTTTAAAAGACTCACACAATATAATTTCAGCCAGGCATGATGACATATACCTGCAATCACCTGGCACTCAGGAGGCTGATGCAATAGGATTGCAGTGAGTTCAAAGCCAGCTTAGGCTACATAGTTAAGATGAAGACAAGGCTACACTACATGGGGGGGTGGGGGAAGAAAG